AGCAACGGAGCCGACCCCGCGTCCCCCCACCTCACCTCACATGAACACACCCGCACGCATTTTCCCCCTCCCATAGAGCTGGAAGGGGAGATCACCTGATCGGCCGGTTTTTATCCGAGAAACCCTTATCGGGATTAACTCTCACGGTTTCCGGCGATCAGGGAATTGGACGACCTCCCCCGTGCTACGTTGCGCCGCGGCGCTGCGACTGGCCTTAGTGTGGTGTGGTCGCGGCGTGGGGCATTCGGCCACCGCGGTTGAGGCGCATTTCCCCCCACACACACCCCCACGGGTCGACGAGACAAGCAGGGGAAGGACGGGATAGCATGCAGGACCGCAGGGGCTCTTGCGCATAGTCACGGAAGGTTGGGATGGTTGCGCTTGAGCGCGCAGGCCCCATTGTTAGGGAGGGTAAGGGATTAATTGGGATTTACGCCGCGCACGCCGCACACTGATTAGCATTTAAAAGCACCGTGGAGGCGCCGCGGAGCCGCCGTGCGCGTGCAAGAGGTGCGCGAGCCATTGTTTGGAGTTTGCGCCGCGCGGGCAGGACATTGATTGGCGTGTCAGGGGCGCTGCGGAGCCGCCGTGCGCGTGCAGGAGGTGCGCGAGCGATTGTTTAGAGTTTACGCCGCGCGGACAGAGGATTAATTAGCATATGCGCCGCTCATGAGCGGAGCGCCTTTGGGAGTACGGGACAGAGGATAAAAGGGATCGCAGCAAGGGAGAGGCTCTCACTTCTCTTCAAGAGGCACGCGTGCAAGTTGGCTCCCAGCTCTGCCCTCCGGACGTCCGCGTGACGTGTCGCGACGGCATAGAGGAAAAGCCACAGGACGCCGAATACTTCTAACAGTGAGTAAGAAGGTGAATTAGAATCATAGCAGATAAATCAGGGAATAGGTATAAAGGTATCAGCGTAGGCCAGCCTCGTCGACTCACTGATTTAACATCTAATTCGCAGGTAGCAGATAATAATCATTAATAGCGAAGCGTGGTCTCGCGTGATCTTGTTGAGCAGTGTGTCGCGTGGGGAGCTGCGTGTGTGTGCGTGCGTCCACCCCGTGTGCGATACAGGTGCGCGATCATAACGCGAGTAGTCAGGGGTGAGTGTAGTGCTGCGGCTCGCCTCGGGGAGCGCTGCGCAGAGTGGCGCGAGAGTGGGTGTCGCGTGTGTTCACTCCGTAGTGTGTGATACAGGTGCGCGATCATAACGCGAGTATTCAGTGGTGAGGGAGTGCCGCGGGGAGCTGTATGCGTGAGTGCGCATACGTTCGTTATGTGTCGGATACGGATGCGCATTGGTAACGTGGTTATTCGACGTGGGAGGCGAGTGCCGCACAGGGCTATAGACGGGCACACGCTCGCAGCGTGCGAGAGCTGGTACGTAGCGGTGTAAAAGAGGGGGAGTGTGCCGTCTGATTGATGATGCTGTGCGCACGTATGCTCGCAGCGTGGGAGCGCGGCGCGAGGCTGTAACAGTAGGGGCGTCGTGTTCGAATGCCGGCGAAACCGTAGCGGGTAAATAAGGAGGTGGGGTAACGTAAATGGAATAGGGGATGCAGGCGGGAGGGACCCCGGGGGCCAACGGCCCCCACAGGTATATGTTTGAGTCTATGGGTCTCTGTGTGGGTGTATGGGTCTATGTGTGGGTGTATGAGTCTATGTGTGAGGTTATGGGTCTCTGTGTGAGTCTATGGGTATCTGTGTGAGTCTATGGGTGTCTGTGTGAGGCTGTGTGTCTGTGTGATATTTTGTGGGTCTATTTGCAAGTATATTGTCCCAGTGAGTGAGTATTTGGGTTTCTGTGTGAGTCAATGGGTGTCTGTGTGAGGCTGTGTGTCTGTGTGTGAGTCTATGGGTCTCTATGTGATTATATGGGTCTTTGTGCAAGTATATTGTCCCTGTGTGAATCTATGAGTCGATGTATGTCTGTGTCTCTGTGTGATTCGATGGGTTTTTGTGAAAGTATATTGTTTCTGTGTGAGTCAATGGGTGTCTGTGTGAGGCTGTGTGTCTGTGTATGATTCTATGGGTCTTTGTGCAAGTATATTGTCCCTTTGTGAGTCTATTGTCTCTGTGTGAGTTAATGTCCCTGTGCGATTCTATGGGTCTTTTTGTAAGTATATTGTCCCTGTGTGTGTCCATGGGTCTGTGTGTGTATTTGTGTCTCTGTGTTATTCAATGGGTTTTTGTGAAAGTATATTGTTTCTGTGTGAGTCTATGGGTCTCTGTGTGAGTCAATTGGTTTTTTGTGAAAGTATATTGTTTCTGTGTGAGTCTATGGGTTTTTGATTCCATGGGTCTATTTGCAAGTATATTGTCCCTGTGTGAGTCTTTGGGTATTTGTGTGAGTCAATGGGTGTCTGTGTCTCTGTGCGAGTCTGTGTCTCTGTGTTTGCCAATGTGTCTTCCTGTGATTCTATGGGTCTTTGGGCAAGTATAGTCTTTGTGTGAGTTTATGGGTCTCTGTGTGAGTCTATGGGTCTCTGTGTGTGTCTATGGGTATATGTTTGAGTCTATAGGTCTCTGTGTGGGTGTATGGGTCTATGTGTGGGTGTATGGGTCTATGTGTGAGGTTATGGGTCTCTGTGTGAGTCTATGGGTATCTGTGTGAGTCTATGGGTCTCTGTGGGATTTTTTTCTCTGTGTGTGTCATTGGGTCTCGGTGTCTGTGTCTGTGTGCAAGTATATTGTCCCTATGTGAGTGTATGGGTCTCTGTGTGAGTCTATGCGTCGCTGTGTTAGTCTATGGGTCTTTGTGCAAGTATATTGTTTCTGTGCGAGTCTTTGGGTTTCTGTGCGAGTCAATGGGTGTCTGTGTGAGGCTGTGTGTCTGTGTGAGATTCTAAGGGTCATTGTGCAAGTATATTGTTCCTGCGTGAGTCTTTGGGTTTCTGTGTGAGTCAATGGGTGTCTGTGTGAGGCTGTGAGGCTGTGTGTCTGTGTATGATTCTATGGGTCTTAGTGCAGCCGTCCTCCCCTAATTAGCGCGAACAATCGAGAGTCTACTGTACTTGGCTCCCATTGCCACTGCTTTGCAGCACTGAGTAATGAGCGAAAGCCCACGAGCACAAGGGGACAACATTCACAGGGCCGCACAGACAAGTCACGTGCCCCAACTTTCTATACTGCCACCTGTCAGCCCCATGAGTTTACAGGCACGTGCCACCACCTCGGTCAGATCAGTAAATGCAATCACGTAAAATTGTCCATTGCAATGATTGATGTTGATTGACGTGGCTCTGCTGCTGTCCCCTTTGTGGGCCGAGTCGTCTGCGCGGAAGCAGGAAATTGTTATCATTGAGCACGCACATCGATCTATCGTGAGTTCTACAATTTTAGTTTAATTCATTAACCAACTCAATTTTCTTAACTTAAACATAACTTATACCACTATACTTTAGTGGTTTTTGGCATAGAGATCCACGGAAGATGAATATTTGGGATTATCCACGATTTTGAATTAGCCGTGGCCATCCTCCCGGTCATTAGTGTGGAAAATGGAGAGTCTACTGTAATCAACAATCCTGTTTTGGCCCAATATTGAATAATCCTTTGATAAACACATGCTTGGTTTTGTTTTTCCAAGCTAAGTCCCAAATAGCTATAGGATTCATACCAACCCCTCTTGTACATTTGATCACCTTTTCAAGTTGCTGCGATCCCCAGTCGGTCGCACAGAGGTGATGCGTAAAGTAAAGGCCGACCGAAATTCGGTTTCGGTGCCGAAAGTTGGCAAATGGCCACTTTCGACATACGTTCGGTTTCGGCCGAAAGTACATTTTTTACTTTCGGTTTACTTTCGATTTCGGCCGAAACTGATATTGACTTTCGGTCAACCGAAGATCTATTTTTAGAATATAACGCTAGTGCTACGTTTATCTCTCTGCCTATCGGCCGGTCAGTCGGCGCTAGGCAATCCTGCGATAGGCTGCAAAAACACATCAGCAGCAGCTTGGGAGCGAGGTTACAGCCGCAACGATGGTCTGTTAATGTCAACAGACGGCAGCCTGCTTTTGCATCCGTGGGTGGAGTCTCTTTGGCGGGACGACAACAAAGTGCCGTTGTTGTCTGTTTCCAGCCGCCTGCCCGCCTTGGCTTATGTGTTGCGTTCTCTTCAGTCTACACGCGTGTTGATACAGAGATTCGAAGTCTGACAATATTCTTCTTGGTTCTTTCGGTAAAGTCACTTAGAAGGGAAGTAATAAAATAATAAAAATAAAACATAATAAAAAAAATGAAGAATTCTTCACCTGAGGACAGCTGCTTGCGTTGTGGCTGAAACGTCGTGAGAATTATTTTATTATGTTTTATTTTTATTATTTTATTATTTCCCTTCTATGTGACTTTACCGAAAGAACCAAGAAGATGAATCCCTGCAGTCACGAAAGCTTTAAATCGAAATCTGACAATATTGTTATTCAGTTAGTTAATAGTTACGTAGCGAATTAGTGATAACAAAATTACGAATCTGAGTGAAGTAGAAAATTAAACTTAATAAACGGAGCAGTTAATCACTAAAGTCGATTCTGATGCAAGAAACAGCAACCTGCTGGGCGAGAATGCGGAAAAACTGGTATTTCTTAACTACAACATTCGTTTGTTTAGATATAATCACCAAGTAACACCTAAAGATTTGATATTTAACGACTCTTACTGCAGGCTCTGAATGATTAGTTCTAGATACATTTTTTATTAAAGTAGCATTGCATCATGACCTATATATAAAAAATGAAAATTTGTGAATGTGTCTGTTCAAAATGTTTAGCGTACTTCCCGACATGCAACAAACTTTAAATTTGCCATGTGGGTACTTTCCATACTGTACACCATGCATACACTTTGGTATTATTTTTTTGGGGGGGGGGGGGTGCAATAATGCATATATTTTGCACGGCAAGCGAGCTGTGACGTCACATCTGTCATGTCACCCGCGCATGTGTAGCGCTTAGCGCTACGAACATGGCGTGGTGCTGGCCACCCACCCCCTCGTGTGCCATGCCGGCCTTCATAGGTACTCGCTAACAGCACTTGCCCCCTACAGTCTCACAGGCTACATGGTGGATTTTTGTCCTTATCCTGTGTGTATGTAGGGGGGGGCAGCGACTGCGTAGCGATTCGCGCGCTGCGCTACGAACCCGACGACCAAAGTTCAATTCCCACTCATGGCCACCGCCGGTGACGATTATTTGAACTGGTCCTGGGCCTCCCCTAGGTCGACTCAGCCTCAAACGAGTAAGTGGTGTGTCAACATCGCCACTGGGGAGACAAAGGCAGCTGGCCGTGGTGAATCCAAGTCCCGGGCGAAGCCGGGTAGTAAAGCTAGTATTTCATAAATCTTGTGTTCGGTAACTTTGGTTATAAACCTTTCTGTTTTGGTCTCGGTCGAAAGTGTAGTTAAACTTTCGGTTTCGGCCGAAAGTGAAGTTCAACTTTCGGTTTCGGCTTCGGTTTCGGCCAAAAGCCAATATTTAACTTTCGGTCTGGTTTCGGTTTGGGCCGAAACCAGAAATTCAGTTTCGGTCATCCTCTAGCGTCAATGCTTCAGCCTACAACACGCCATGGCAACGTAACTGGTACTGGGCAACTATCTGAACGCTGGAATAAAAAAAACCCGTCTTTCTTGCAACCAAAAACGGCAGGATGGATATGCATGGTGTGCATGCATAATGTGAATGTATGTCTGTTGATTATCCTATGAATAACCCAACCGATATTGGATATCCATTGTAATTTATATGCATTTATAACCTCCCCCCCCCCCGGCCTTCGGCCTAATTGCCCCACAAGTGAGACATCACATTTATCTCTTGAGAAATCCTCCTGCTTCGCTCTTAACAACCCTGGCTATCGCCTGTTGATGTGAGTTGGAATTACTGACAAAACGTCGTACTCGAATTGTAAATTTTATTTTATACCTACGTGACTTTACCAAAAGAACCAAAGAGTATTGAATTGTAAATGTTGGGGGTTTACTGTCGAACACACCAGTGTGCTGAACTAGTAACGAATTAGCACGTTTTGATTACGTGACAAACCTTACTACAGTAATTGGCTGTGTTGGCGGTGGCGGGTTTAACGACACATTCATATTTACGTCGTCTAACCCAAAAACCTCGATTATGGATAATGGTCGTGAAAGCTTGAGGTCTTCTTGGGGTAAACAAACTTATGAATATTTATGTTGAACTTCTTTCGCACCGTACATAGCCAACTGTGCTAATCGGAGGTGTGGAAATATGTAAAGCCTTGGTTGGAACGCAGCTAAAAGGCCTGGTGACAGAAGTGACCTGTCTGCTATTTTACATCTCTAGGTTTCAATCAACTCATTGCCCAGCATAAATTTTAACGTGAACTCGACTACGGGAACAGACCTGAATCTGACCGTCAGAACGGAGGCTTTGGATTCGGGCCGTGGCCCAGGTGCAGTGGTTTGTGCTGTACAGAGCCCTCGACAAGATAGGTGCCAGACACCAGCGCCGCGGCCGCCCTGCGCGAGCGGCCGCTCAGGGTAGAGCGGCCGAGGTTTCCCACCAAATCGCTCCTCCAGCATTTCCTTCAGCCTGCACGCCCCGCACACACAGGCCGCAACGCGATGTCCACACACAATAAAAAAAATGCCACACTCCAAGTGCTATGAGGCTCCATCCACACGGTGGCGCTGCTACACAAAGCAATGAGGCACGGCTGTTACGAAGACTTAGGGAGTTTAGTCATTTGTGGAATTGTTTTTTTAACTTGTCATGGGACCTTGTTGTCAAGTTCAAGTTCAAGTTCATTTATTAGGTATAGCCCTGTGAGCCATTCAGCTCTTGAATCGGGTGCAACCGCAACAAACAAAAAACAAAAACATGAACAAAAAAAACATCTTAAAGTGAATATGTGACTAAGTGCAAACAGAAAATCCAAGAAAAGACAGCAAAAATATTGCAGAAAAAACACCGTACACCAACGCTGTGTGCAAAAATGCCAGTGGGATGCAAGTCAAACAACAACAACAACCACAAGACAACTTAGATTAAGGCCATCAGTCTAACTCTGTACTACAACAACACAAACATGGCTAAACCAATACACTTTTCGAAATCACCAAAATAAAGCCATGAAGGCAATGAAAAAGCAATCATAGGAACTGACGGAATTTTCACAATAAATGGCATAAACAACATGTACTACCAAAACCCTGCAGCCATAGCTGGCTGCATGAGTCACTCCACAACAGCAGGAGCATCAATCGGAGTATTGTAATTTTTCAATGCACCTTTAAGATCAGCACACTAAATCAAAACACAGGTCATACTTTGTAGCGATCATCCGGAGCGAAACATTTTATTTTAGGTCACTGAATAGCACTGGCAGCTAGGGGTGTACAACTCCTCTAAAGCAGTTTTGAGTGAAGATCTCATAGGTAGTGACTCAAGTTTCAATTTATTTGCAACAGCATTCCAGACCCTGGGGGCATCAATAGCAAAGGCCCTTCCTCCAGTATCGAAGTATAAAGAATAACAATAAGTTTTACCCTTTCTGGCAATAAAACATGTCTTAAGATGTTCAAACACCAAATAGATCACGTTACATTTTTCATGAATGGAAAACTTGTTTCTCTAGTCCATACCACGAGCCACTGGTCCAACATTCCTCGTAACATTCAGCAATTCCCTTTCTGCCACGCAACATGCTGCAGGTCAACGTTTTGGAGGGCTTTGGCTCTGCATAGGCTATTGAGGCCCAGAGTCCTGGGCTGGGCAACAGTCGAGACCGCCGCGGGTCATTGACACGGAGCGGCCCCAACGAGTCACAACGCCGCTAGAGTGAGTGAAAGCTCGCCACGCCATCTGAACGAGCCACGTTCCACATGGTCAGGGCTGTCAACGTTCTTGCCCAACTCACGGCGGCTCGCTTTGACGCTGCTGAGCACGCTTCCACGCATGCTCGGAATGGAGGCGGGCCGTTAACGCTCCGTGTAGAGCAAACTCTAGCGCTTCCATGTAACTCGGCTGTCTGCGCCGCGATCTACAATGTTAGCTGGAGTGCAGACTTACTGAGGATCTGATAAAGCAATCTTGAGCAATGCCACTATGTATTGGGCCTGCCTGCATTGCACCTGTGCACGTTGCGCCCACGCGAGTGGTGCCTGTATGCTTGTGGGTAGGGGATGGGTGAGGTTTGTGGGTAGGGAGTAGGGAAGGGTGAGGATTGTGATAAGGGAGTGGTGAGGGACGAGGCTTGTGGGTAGGGAAGGGTGAGGCTTGTGGGTAGGGGGTGGACACTGGGAACTGTGGGTACTCTGTGCCCGCCCTATATAACTTTATCTGCAGCGTGTTCCGCAGGCCGCGAAGGGAATTTCTGAACCTTGTGAATGTTGGACGGTGGCTGGCAGTATAGTGTCATGGTGGCGTGGTATACAGGAGGGCGTGGGTTCCATCCCGACCCTGACGCCTGCTGTAAATTTGGAGTTTGCATGTTCCCTCCGCAGTCGCGTGGATTTTTCTCTGGGTCCTCTGGTTTTCCCCTCTACATTTAGATTCAAGATGCCTTAATAGTATTTGGCTAATTAAAATTTGCACATAAGCCCCTTCGTTGAACTATTATTTGTAGTGAAATGAGAGCGTAAATGGGGTTTGCTGCTGGGCTCTGGCCCAATCACACGGCCCGGGTTATTGGGGGGCGGAGCCCGGTATGGGGGGCGTGTGGGAGGGGCCGCCGTTCACCTCGGCTCCAATTGGAAGCGAGGTGAATGGGGGTGGAGCCAGCAGGGCAGTATGGGAAGGCCGTATCTGACGATCCGGAAGGGGAGGAGTCAGGGTCACGTGGGGGAGAGGATAGAAGTGGGAGCTCGGAAGAGATCGGGGGAGTTGCGGAGTAAAGAGGCTGAGCCACGTTGGGTGGTGAGAGGAGATCCGCGCCATCGGCCACGTGGCCGAAGGACCTTCAGCACGCCGTCGGCCAGCGGAGTGCGGGAGTGGAGGAGCTAACGGAGGAGCGTGCGTGGGCGCGCGCGAGGAGACGCTGGTCCTGTCAGGACTAGCGGGGTGTGAGGAAGAGTGGAGGAGCCGATGAGGTCGCGCGTGCGGGGCGCGCGCTAGACGACGCTGGTCCGCGGACAGGACCAGCGGGGTGCGGAGAAAGAAACTAAATAAAAGGCCAAAGGAGACCAACAGTGACCAACGGAGTCTTTTATTACAGTAGCCAGGTCACTTCTGAAAAATAGCTATATAGTTCAGTAGGCACTTAAAATAAAAAAAGTTTAGTTTATAGCAGTTAGTATAAAAAAAGAGAAATGCAATAAACATGTCACCACGCATTATCGCGCACACGGAGATGAGCCGAGCGGCCGCAGAGGCGAGGGGGAGAGCGGTCATGCTCACGTGGGTAGGAAATTTCCAAGCGCTTCGTCGGGCTGCAGGTAGGAGGCCGGGGACCTGACGAAGGAGACGAAGGTGTGAGTAGGCGTCATCGCAAAACACCAATACCCCCCCCTAGCCACGGGGCTGGACACAACACAGATACCCCCCCTAGCCACAAGGCTGGACACAACACAGATACCCCCCCCCCCTTGCCACGGGGCTGGACACAACACAGATACCCCCCCCCCTTGCCACAGGGCTGGACACAACACAGATACCCCCCCTAGCCATGTGGCTGGACACAACACAGATACCCCCCTAGCCACGGGGCTGGACACAACACAGATACCCCCCTTGCCACGGGGCTGGACACAACACAGATACCCCCCTTGCCACGGGGCTGGACACAACACAGATACCCCCCCTTGCCACGGGGCTAGACACAACACAGATACCCCCCCTTGCCACGGGGCTGGACACAACACAGATACCCCCCCTTGCCACAGGGCTGGACACAACACAGATACCCCCCTTGCCATGTGACTGGACACAACACAGATACCCCCTTGCCACGGGGCTGGACACAACACAGATACCCCCCCTTGCCATGGGGCTGGACAAAACACAGATACCCCCTTGCCACGGGGCTGGACAAAACACAGATTACCCCCCCCCCCCCTTGCCATGGGGCTGGACACAACACAGATAACCCCTTGATACTGGGCTGAGTGCATAAGCAACTGAAGTAGAATTGTGTTAAATAAAGTACATACAGTAAAAAAACTCATGAAATAAACTTAAATGAAGAAAACTAGCAATAGAAACATGGGGAAAAACAAGCTCTCAGCATATAAAACAAGCAATGACATAATGCTACGAAATGAAAGAATTACATAAGACGACAATAAATGCCTTAACCCTCGTGGAGCTCAAGCGAGGCGTAAGGTTGCCCCTCGCCTTACGTCTCGCTCCACGGTATTCATCCGCAAACCTCACTGTGCTGCAATATTTGCGCTTACGTAATTAACGCAAGAATGTCTGAATATCGATGTTTTATTGTTACGTGATTTATGGAAGCATTCCCATTAGGTTAGATTTCCTCAAGTTAGATCTTTCGCAACCTGGGGACTGTCTGTACATGAAGGAAGATTCGCATTGCCGTTTACGACAGATGCTGGTTAGTGAAGAGCATTCCAGATTGTAGAATGCCGTATAACAATATATTTTCCTGTATTTTAATACATCTTTACTTTCCAACGATGTGCTGTACTAGTCATGAATTGGCATGTTTTGGTTACGTGACAAACCTTACTAATTGACCGTATTGGGTGGTGCCGGGATTAACGACATTTATTATATTTACGCAATCTAACCCAAAAACCTCGATTATGGACATTGGTCGCGAAAGCCTGCTACATATTCAACTGACAGCTTGGTAGTGTACCATTAAAATGTCAAGCGGCAACATTTTCAAAAAGAGAAAGCGTACAAAAAAGATGGCATCATCGTTTGTCCCTCTCCGATTGCTTGCCAAATACAAGGAAACTATTGCAAACGTGGCAGTGAGTAAAACTCGTAACTGCAAATCACAGACAGAAGCAAGCGACATCTTGTGTCGTTGACTCGGATTCATCCATTCTGGTCCCTTGCAAAATGTTTTTGACAATGCCTGAAAAACTTCGCTTTCACTGTTAACAAATAAATCTTTGGCTCATATTTGCAGGTTGTTTTATCCACTGCAGTAGCACCCAGTTACACCACTGGGGACTTCACACGAGACCAGCCGAGAGGCGTTTTGATAACACGTTCACATACAAAAGACAAAGATCCCCCGTGTAGCCTTAACAGACTGTTGGGGCAAGTGCCGATAGTGAGTAGCATCCATGAAGGCCGGCACGGCGCGAGAGGGTGTTTGGCCAACATCAAGCCCGGCCGCCTTTGTCTCCCCAGTGGCGTTGTTTACACACTGTACCAGGTACTCATTTGACGCCGAGTCAACTTTAGGGGAGGTCCAGGACTGGTTCATATAATCGTCACCAGTGTTGGCGGCCATGAGCGGGAATCGAACTCGTGTCGCCGGGTTCGTAGCGCAGCGTAGCGCTAACCGCTGCACTATTGTGCACATGCAGGCAGATACAAACACCCTGACATACACACTCGTACACAACGTGGCCATACGACTGTCGTAGCTGTACCTTGCAGGTCGGGCACACAAACTCGCAGCCCGCGCGTGCGCGTGCCTTTGTCCTGCAGGCATGCTCCACACGAGACGCGTGTCCGCACACCGGCAGCAGGTAGGGGCGGCTGCGTGACGCGTCCCAGGCTCCACTGGGAAACAGACATTTTTTAAAATCCCAACCAAGGCATGGGATCAGAACAAGTGCTAAGGCAGCACCTGACGCGCAAAGACAGCGTCGACTTTTCCCATTTGAAAGCGGCCACTCCTCGTCATCATCACAGATTAAGGGGTCTGTAATTATGACGATAGACCTGATTTTCATTCAATCAGGTCTATAATTGAATGACAATCGTAGACCTGATTTTCATTCATTTAGGATTTTCTTTGGACGTCAGCTAATAAAGTAGATTATCGATTATTCGTGCTGACAGGGAGGACAGCCGCGGATAATTCAAAATCGCGGACATTAGATTACTTTTATTTAAACTATGAACTTCATACATTAACAGTACATCTAGCAACTAATTTACCTGGTGGTATTGGAACAATTCTTACATGCTTGTGTTGAACCAATGCCGCTTGAAATGATACAACAGCAGGCGTTGACGATGAAAAGCGTAAAAAACTATTCTGAGTTTATTGTCCCTTATTTTATGGCCTGCTCAGATCTTCTTTCGGGGACTCAATTCGCTACTTTTAGCTCTGAACATCAAGCGTAGCGAGTGAGCCTCTATGAAGGCCAGCAGCGTGCTGTTAGTGGTCGTGTAAGCAGAATCACAGCCGTCTTTGTCTCCCGAATCTACACTCGCAATGAACCGAGTACTCATTTAAGGCCGAACTGACCTAAAGGAGGCTCCCAAGAATGGTTTATATTTCGAGTTGCCGCTGTTTCTCCCCGTCAGAAATTAAATTACCTTCACGCATCTTCATGTGGCGTCTCCTTGAGACGACTGTAACTGCACGAGCTAAAGGCGCGTCTTTCTGTAAGCGCCACACTGCCTTACGCGAGACTTCAGTTTTACATTTTCCATCATCTACTCCTTTAACGGATGTAGAAATTTAAACTAACTTCTTTCGCACCGTACGTAGCCAATGGTGCTAATCTGATGTGCGGAGCAAGAACAAACACTAAAACACAAAACGCACGCGCATGTAGGCCGTGCTATAAACAATTACCTTTGATTTCCTGTGCGGGCAAGGACGATACAGTCCACTAAAACTACGAGCACGCGGCACACCACCAGCGGCCACGTCTCCTGCCGCGTGTGCAGGCGGTGCAACTGCACGGGCCCACACGGGCGGGGAGTTGCTGCAGTGCCATGCCACGTGGAGCAGAGGGGGGCATTGGCAGGCTTCATTCTTGCGTTTCTTGCACCAGAACCAGACTCACACAGAGACCCAGATACTCTCACACAGAGACCCTCACACAGAGACTCTCACACAGAGACCCAGAGACTCTCACACAGAGACCCTCACACAGAGACCCAGAGACTCTCACACAGAGATTCTCACACAGAGACCCAGAGACTTACACAGAGACCCAGAGACTCTCACCCAGCGACCCAGAGATTCTCACCCAGAGACCCTCACACAGAGACCCAGAGACTCTCACCCAGAGACTCTCACCCAGAGACTCAGAGACTCTCACACAGAGACTCACACAGACTCTCACCCAGAGACTCTCACACAGAGACCCAGAGACTCTCACACAGAGACTCAGAGACTCTCACACAGAGAGACCCTCACACAGAGACTCACACAGAGAGACTCTCACACAGAGACTCAGAGACTCTCACCCAGAGACTCAGAGACTCTCACCCAGAGACTCAGAGACTCTCACACAGAGAGACCCTCACACAGACACTCACACAGAGAGACTCTCACACAGAGACTCAGAGACTCTCACACAGAGACTCAGAGACTCTCACCCAGAGACTCTCACACAGAGACTCAGAGACTCTCACCCAGAGACTCGGAGACTCTCACCCAGAGACTCTCACCCAGAGACTCTCACAGAGACTCACACAGAGACTCACACAGAGACTCTCACAGAGAGACTCTCACAGAGACTCACACAGAGACTCACACACAGAGACTCTCACACAGAGACTCACACAGAGACTCTCACACAGAGACTCTCACACAGAGACTCTCACACATAGACTCAGAGACTCTCACACAGAGACTCACACAGACTCTCACACAGAGACTCACACAGACTCTCACACAGAGACTCAGAGACTCTCACCCAGAGACTCAGAGACTCTCACACAGAGACCCAGAGACTCTCACCCAGAGACTCTCACACAGAGACCCAGAGACTCTCACCCAGAGACTCTCACACAGAGACCCAGAGACTCTCACCCAGAGACTCTCACCCAGAGACTCAGAGACTCTCACACAGAGACTCACACAGACTCTCACCCAGAGACTCTCACACAGAGACCCAGAGACTCTCACACAGAGACTCAGAGACTCTCACCCAGAGACTCAGAGACTCTCACACAGAGAGACCCTCACACAGAGACTCACACAGAGAGACTCTCACACAGAGACTCAGAGACTCTCACCCAGAGACTCAGAGACTCTCACCCAGAGACTCAGAGACTCTCACACAGAGAGACCCTCACACAGACACTCACACAGAGAGACTCTCACACAGAGACTCAGAGACTCTCACACAGAGACTCAGAGACTCTCACCCAGAGACTCTCACACAGAGACTCAGAGACTCTCACCCAGAGACTCGGAGACTCTCACCCAGAGACTCTCACCCAGAGACTCTCACAGAGACTCACACAGAGACTCACACAGAGACTCTCACAGAGAGACTCTCACAGAGACTCACACAGAGACTCACACACAGAGACTCTCACACAGAGACTCACACAGAGACTCTCACACAGAGACTCACACAGAGACTCTCACACATAGACTCAGAGACTCTCACACAGAGAGACTCACACAGAGGCCCAGAGACTCACGCGGCAGCGACTCCGTGAGCAGTGATGGCGGCGCGAGACCGCGCGCGCTGGGTGACACCACGTGGTGCTGACACCACGTGCCGAGTGCGCACGCCGAGTCACGTGGGGGCGGGCGGCCATCTTACCTGGGGACAGTGCTGCACTGTAACAGTGGGGAGCGGCGGTGCAGCGGTTAGCGCGGCGCTTTGTGTAAACATCGTCACTAGGGAGACAAAGGCGGCCGGGCGTGGTCCTGGATACCCACTCCCTCGTGTGCCGTGCATAGGTGCTCGCTAACAGCACTTGCCCCAACAGTCTGTTCAGGATATACGGGGGATCTTTGTGAATGTGTGAGTCTGCGAGTGAGTCTGTGTGAGTGTGTGAGTCTGTGTGAGTCTGTGTGAGTGAGTGAGTCTGTGTGAGTGAGTCTGTGTGAGTGAGTGAGTCTGTGTGAGTGAGTCTGTGTGAGTGTGTGAGTCTGTGTGAGTGAGTGAGTCTGTGTGAGTGTGTGAGTCTGTGTGAGTGAGTCTGTGTGAGTGAGTCTGTGTGAGTGAGTCTGTGTGAGTGTGAGTCTGTGTGAGTGAGTGAGTCTGTGAGTGAGTGAGTCTGTGTGAGTGTGTGAGTCTGTGTGAGTCTGTGTGAGTGAGTCTGTGTGAGTGTGTGAGTCTGTGTGAGTGAGTGAGTCTGTGTGAGTGAGTGAGTCTGTGTGAGTGTGTGAGTCTGTGTGAGTGAGTGAGTCTGTGTGAGTGAGTGAGTCTGTGTGAGTCTGTGTGAGTGAGTGAGTCTGTGTGAGTGTGTGAGTCTGTGAGTCTGTGTGAGTGAGTGAGTCTGTGTGAGTGTGTGAGTCTGTGTGAGTGAGTCTGTGTGAGTGTGTGAGTCTGTGTGAGTGAGTCTGTGTGAGTGTGTGAGTCTGTGTGAGTGAGTCTGTGTGAGTGTGTGAGTCTGTGTGAGTGAGTCTGTGTGAGTGTGTGAGTCTGTGTGAGTGAGTCTGTGTGAGTGAGTCTGTGTGAGTGTGTGAGTCTGTGTGAGTGAGTGAGTCTGTGTGAGTGTGTGAGTCTGTGTGAGTGTGTGAGTCTGTGAGTGTGTGAGTCTGTGTGAGTGAGTCTGTGTGAGTCTGTGTGAGTGAGTGAGTCTGTGTGAGTGAGTGAGTCTGTGTGAGTGTGTGAGTGAGTGAGTCTGTGTGAGTGTGTGAGTCTGTGTGAATGTGTGAGTCTGTGTGAGTGAGTCTGTGTGAGTGTGAGTCTGTGTGAGTGAGTGAGTCTGTGTGAGTGAGTGAGTCTGTGTGAGTGAGTGAGTCTGTGTGAGTGTGTGAGTCTGTGTGAGTGAGTGAGTCTGTGTGTGAGTCTGTGAGTGAGTCTGTGTGAGTGTGTGAGTCTGTGTGAGTGAGTGAGTCTGTGTGAGTGTGTGAGTCTGTGTGAGTGAGTGAGTCTGTGTGAGTGTGTGAGTCTGTGTGAGTGTGTGAGTCTGTGTGAGTGAGTCTGTGTGAGTGTGTGAGTCTGTGTGAGTGAGTGAGTCTGTGTGAGTGTGTGAGTCTGTGTGAGTGAGTCTGTGTGAGTGTGTGAGTGAGTGAGTCTGTGTGAGTGTGTGAGTCTGTGTGAGTGAGTGAGTCTGTGTGAGTGTGTGAGTCTGTGTGAGTGTGTGAGTCTGTGAGTGAGTCTGTGTGAGTGTGTGAGTCTGTGTGAGTGAGTGAGTCTGTGTGAGTGTGTGAGTCTGTGTGAGTGAGTGAGTCTGTGTGAGTGTGTGAGTCTGTGTGAATGTGTGAGTCTGTGTGAGTGTGAGTCTGTGTGAGTGAGTCTGTGTGAGTGTGTGAGTCTGTGTGAGTGAGTGAGTCTGTGTGAGTGTGTGAGTCTGTGTGAGTGAGTCTGTGTGAGTGTGTGAGTGAGTGAGTCTGTGTGAGTGTGTGAGTCTGTGTGAGTGAGTGAGTCTGTGTGAGTGTGTGAGTCTGTGTGAGTCTGTGTGAGTGTGTGAGTGAGTGAGTCTGTGTGAGTGAGTGAGTCTGTGTGAGTGAGTGAGTCTGTGTGAGTGTGTGAGTCTGTGTGAGTGTGTGAGTGTGTGAGTCTGTGTGAGTGAGTGAGTCTGTGTGAGTGAGTGAGTCTGTGTGAGTGTGTGAGTCTGTGTGTATGTGCACGTGTGGATCACCACACAAATGTTGTGAAACTCCCCGTGGTCGCTAAGGTCGCCATCTCCTGGCCTATCCAGGGTCTGGAAGCGCAGCAAGCGGAGACATTTCCATCTCGAGGGGATTTAATGTTTCCCCCTCGCACGCGTTGGTTCTCTCCCCTCACATGCATACTCGCTCTTGAATGGAACTGGGCAAACATATGCCATGCAATGGGGCCCATTGCTTCAAACATCGCCCATGATATATTTTCCTCTTAAGGCAGCCGTGGTATTAACGAATGTGTTCATTGAGTTTTATTTGTGCACCACTGCCAACGCGGTATCGACAAATTATCCCAATGTAGGACCACAGAGCTTGGGGATATTGTTGGTCGCGCCGGTTTCTGGCTGGCTGCAACACCAATGCACAACATACAGCACTAACATACAACATGTATGTTGAACTTCTATCGCACCGTACGTAGCCAACCGCGATAATCGGAGGTGCTGGCTGCTGGTGAAGAACAACAAACTAAACACAAAAAGCAGTTCTAAAGAAATGGGTTGTCAAAGACATTTAAAAGTGCAGAGCTCCAATGTCTTCCAAATATCGGAAGGAAGAGCGATGGCCGCAGAAGCGCATCTGAAAGCGGCACGCGATGAGGTGCCCGCACCCCTCCTGACCCCCCCGGGATGCACCCCAGAGCCCCCCCCCCAACCCCCCTCGGACCCCCTCGGCGAAGACAGCGCAGAGTGCCGCAGCTGCCTCGCCCGCACTGTGGCACTGCAGTTGTACCACGTGGCCACACGGCGGCGGTGGAGATTACTGATCGGGCGTCCGTGTTGGTGAGCTCATTGAGACGAGCAGGGGTCCCCAACCCCCGGGCCGCTGACCAGTACCGGTCCGTGGCCTGTTAGGAACCGAGCCGCACAGCAAGAGGTGAGCGCCTCTTTCCCGCACTGCGCACTTGTCTCAGTCAGCTTCTTTGAAAAGGGGGAAAGACCCAATCATGACCCCCCCCCCCCGTCCGTGAAAAAATTGTCTTCCATGACACCGGTCCCTGGTGCCAAAAAGGTTGGGGAGCACTGATTTAGAGGACGTCCATGTTGGTTAGGTTATTTAGAGGACGTCCATGTTGGTTAGGTTATTTAGAGGACGTCCATGTTGGTTAGGTTATTTAGAGGACGTCCATGTTGGTTAGGTTATTGAGAGGACGTCCATGTTGGTTAGGTTATTTAGAGGACGTCCTTGAATTACGTCACGCACCTAGGGGGGGGGGGGGGGGGAGTCAGACATTTGTGACGATGTGTGACGAGGGGGGGGTTGAGAAATGTGACGTCACATCAAAATGCGTAACTTTAAATAAATATAGTCAACACGTTCTACTTAATTAAATATACTTTTAATAAATGTTTTATCCTACAACATCATAGTGCAGCGGCACATTAAATACGCACTACAATGACAATACTTTAAAGCTATTTGAAGCGTGTTTTATTTTTTGTGGGGGGATGGGGGGCAGAGCTTTGTGACGTCATATTTGAGGGGGGGGGGGTCTGACTTTTCGTGACGCCGTGTGACGAGGGAGGGTGGGGTCAAAAGTCGTCCAAAATCGCGTGACGTCATTTATGGACAGCCCCTTAGGTCATTTAGCTCATGAGGTTTTGGTCTCATTGCCACCTCCACCATGAGCAGAGGCCGCGGGTAGAGGCCACGCACCGACACTCGGGGCAGTCGTCCCAACTGTTGAAGTGGCGAGCTGCCGGCTTGGACAGGAAGGCCATTGTCCGTAGCGTCGCCTGTATGTGTTCTTCTTTAAAGGCCGCCGGGTTATTAACGAATGTGTTGATTTTGTTTAATTCGGGATTGTGTTCGTGCGCCACTGCCATCGCAGCCAGAGATTCACCCAGGAGAGGGTGCCGTGTATCCGTGCACTCCAGTGACATCCGCAGGGCCAGGCTCGAGCCAGTGCGTGACAGAGTTATTTGCTGAACTTGATC